ATTCAGAGAAGTTCATCACTATATCAAACACTGAGTGACAATTTGACTTCAGCTCCAGCAATTCACGAATCATTTAATAGATTTTTGAAGTATCTAAGAATATATGAAACCAATTTTGAGAAGGGATTTCATTTCATAACAGCACATGTTCTGAGGTAGCACGGCATAATGAAGAGCAGGCCTCAAAATCAGCAAGATCTGGATTCAAGCCCTGATGCTAACATATACTGGCCATGTATGAGACACTGGGCACGACACTAAGGTTCTTACACACCTCAGACGCTAAGTTGCTAAATGGTTGCTGTAAGGTATAAGAAATTATGTTTCCACAGATGAAGAGGAAGTGGTCCTAACAATAGAATTCAGAAGTTGCCACAGGGGTAGGAGTGGTTTTACTCAGAATCATTTTTAACAATAATACCCAGAAACAGACAAAACAGGTTGACCCTAGTAGTGTGGTTAGAAATGAAGAAAATGAAACAAAGGTCGGGGCAGCTAGGTGGTGCAGTGGATAGAGCTCCGGCCTTAGAGTCAGGAGGACCTGAGTTCAAATCTGGCCTCAGACACTTGACACTGGCTGTGTGACCTTAGGCAAGTTACTCAACCTTCATTGCCTCACCAAAAAAGCAAAAAAAAAAAAAATGACAAAAAACCCCCCCAACCCAACAAATGTCATAGCTTGGCTAAGGTGTGCATGCTTAATGAGCTTATGCATATTAACTTCTCCTCTCCAGGGGGAGGATGAATACAATTTTAAGTACAACGTTGTATGTAGTGGGAGGGGAGGACACATTAAGGAGCCGTATGAAGTAGGCATGCCAGGAAGTTGTACACCCTGGAGTACCTGATCAATGGGGAAACAAGGAGGACCTTTAGTTTCAGGACAGGGATATAACTGCTTGCCTCTCACTTCTGTAGGGTGTGTCAGCCTCTAGCTGCACACCCACTTCTTACAAGAATGTATAATAAATGAGCTTGCCTCATCTGCCTTGGGAGTCTTTGTCTTTCATATAAAAGTTTTGTTTTTTGTTTTGTTTTGTTTTTTGCTTTTTGGTGAAGGTTAAGTGACTTGCCTACAGTCACACAGCTAGCATCATGTGTCTGAGGCTGGATTTGAACTCAGGTCCTCCTGACTCCAAGATTGTAGCTCTATCTACTGTGCCACCTAGCTGCCCCTAGAAGTTGTTTCTAACAGTTGTCACTCTGCATTGGTTGATGGAGTTTTCTTATAGGGAAAATAAAATCATGGTCTAGATTCTGTTTTCTCCTAAGCCCCTTCAAAACACGCATACGTAGACATCATAGACATAAATACACACACACAGAGGTAACATGATGTTAAAGTGTTGAAAATTTCTGCAATTTAATTAGTGTATGCAGGACCAAGAAAATTCAAATTTTAAAGCCGCCTTTCCCTCAAAATGCAAGTTCTTGGAAAGAATTATCTGGACACTTGATCCAACTCCCAACCTCACTTTGCTCACACTCATTTGAACATACTTTATTTATCTGATAGTTTTCTTTCATTTGCATGATTTTTTTAAACAAACCTCCAAATGAGACACAAATTATTATTGTCTGAATTATCAATTGAAAGATATTCCAATCATATGCTTGAGAATAAAACTTATCAAAATTCATTATTCCTCTTTCACAGAGGACAACAACAAATATAATTCTATGTCTTTTCTATTAAATGGATGACAATGCTTGGGTACAATTGTTGCCTTTTTTTTGTCTTGAAGTGGTTATACAAATTGTCTTGGTGCCTAAAACAAAAGGTCAAAATATGCTACATTTTACTAAGAAAAACCTGCGTTTTGATCAACTTGACTGAAGGTGAAAGGTCATGTGTAAGGAAGGATGCCAAGGTGCCCTGAACTTTTCTTGAAAGAAAACTGCATTTAAAAAAATAATCATGTACCATTCTCTCAAGAGATGAAATGAAATTTGTTAAAGATTTAAAAAATTTTTGTAAAGTTTTTTTGTACTAATTAACTCAAACTAGGGAATGATAGACTATTCTGATTCCACATCCCCTTTGCATGGAAAATCTGAGTGGAAAATTATAAATCTAAAAATAAATTGCCAAGTGGTTATTCATTTTTTTTCTTTCCTACTCTAGGACTGTAGAACCTTCTCAGTTGTCAGTTCAAATCAAAGAAGAGACCCTATCTATTCCCTTTTAATAATCTTTCTCCCTGGACATCATGATTTGGTCCATAGTTGTAGATGTGTACATATGTATGTGTGTATACAACACACATATACAAATATATACTATTTATATATGTATACATCTATGGTTGTATGTAATATGTAACATATACATGTATATAAATACACAAGGGAGTTGTTACTGTTGCTATTTAGTTTTGTTTTGTTTGTTAGGCAATTGGGGTTAAGTGACTTGCTCACGGTTACGCAGCTAGGTAAGTGTCAAGTGTTTGGTCTGAGGCCACATTTGAACTCAGGTCCTCCTGACCTCGGGGCCAGTGCTCTATCCACTGTGCCATCTAGCTGCTCCTACTGTTTGTTTTTCATTCTCGAAGAGGACCGTGACAGCAGGGAGGTGATGCCATGACATGCAGATGAATTGGATTTAAGTGAGGGAGGGCTGTGCAAAGTCACAAGCCTCACTTTCTCCTCCAGAGCTGCCTGGGTCCAGTTGCCAGATATAGATCAGGACAATTGGAGATGGCCCAGGATGTAGTAGGGGACTTCTGCCTTTGCGAGCTAAGATCTTTAACAGATCTCAGTTTGACCGAAGTAACACCCATTCAGTGATTAAGGCTTAATAAGAATTGAGGCAGAGAATGGCCTCTTTATCTAGTTAAAAATTTAAAATAAATAAATAAATAATAGATCTGGGAGGGAAAGACCCTCAAGGTTTCTGGCTGAAATAGAAACAATTGCTATTTACATTCATTCTGAGCCAATCAGGGTTCAAACAATGACCAAGTAGGGCACTAGGTATCATAGGGTTTAAACAGATCTTACAAACCATTTAGCCTAATCTCCTTTTACAGATGGGGAACCTGAGGTCTGGAGGGGTTAGGTAACATGCCCACAGTCACAGAGATAACACCTGTCAGAGCCACAGTTTGAACCTAAGTCTTTTAATTTCAAATCCAGTTCCCACTATACCATACTGCTTATCTGGAAGAATTGGATTCTGGTTAAAACATTACCACTTACCAGCTGTGTGAGCCTGCTGCAGATATGAATTGGATGGCCTCTGAGGACCCTTCCAACTTTTAGATTCTGTGAAGTCACAGCTTAGCTTCAGTTTTCTTATGATGTAGAAATAATAATGATTATACCTTTTCCCACTTAACTTGTTGTACCGAGAAATCAGTGAGGGAGACCCAGACGTAATTTAAAATGTGGCTTTATTAGCGTGTGGCTGCAAGGGGTTTGCACACCCAAATCATGCAGCCCCGATCAGGGGTCGAGCTAGGGTTTATATGGAAAACAGCATGGGAAAGAAATGCCAGGAACACTGATGAGGTAATCCAAAAGTGCAGGTGTCTTTGGGGGCTATGGATGGGAAAGTACAGGGAGTATACTGGACAGGGAGGGAGATGACAGAGGTATGGATCTTTGGAGTCTGACAGGAGGAAGAGTCCTTGGGCTGGCCAAGGACAAAACTCCTTGGGCTGGGCAAGACACTCCTCTCCCTCTGTCTTGATGAGAGAATGCTCTGCAACAAGGGAAAGCTTTCTCACAAGACAGGAACTTACTGAGGAATTGGGAGGCTTCCAGAGACATGATCTGAGGGCTGGGGCCTGAGCAGCTCAGCTCTGTGTAGCTGTACCAGGGAGACAGATAAGGGTCGTGCTGAGGCCCATGCATGAATAACTGCTAGGCACAGTGTCCTTGGGCGGGGGAGTGGTTGTCAGAGACAGTGTTTCTGAGACTAGGGAGAAATTGGGGCACAAGTACAAGCACAAGCACCCGAGCACCCCATCATTACAGGTCAGAGATCACACAAACCAGACCAGGTGTCCTAGTCTCTGGTATAAACATAATTATCTAAAGCAATTATATTGCAAGCTTTCTTATCCATTTGTGTTGGAGGTATGGGCTGTGCTCAGCTACGCAAGAGTATATTTCGCTATTGTTTAGATTTAGGAGGAAAGAGGTCTGGGGCAAGATTAAGCAGTAATTTCTGCTTTCCATGGCTTAAAGGGCCCTACTACCTAAATGGTAAAATAATGTTCTGCATTACAAACTAAGTATTCTTAAACTAGAATTTATGAACTTAAATTATTTTGATAAATGTAATCCAATATAATTGATTCTTTTGTAATCGTATATAATTTATTTTATGCATTTAAAAAATTATTCTGAGAAAAGGTCTGTGGGTTTCAACAGACTGCCAAGATGTCCACAATACAAAGAGGTTAAAAACACATCCATTTAAGGATATACATATTTTTAAAAAAATTAATACCATTATAAAAGAAATTTTTAGAATTCTTAGATATGAAATCAATAAACCTGCCATAATTTTGGAAGTCTAAATTTAACAAAAATAAAACAAAATGTATTTTAGAAAACTATCCAGTAACCCCAATGAAAATATAGCAAATAAAAAGTCATTTTGAAAAGGAAAAAATTTGAGGGTCATACCAAGAAATAAGTATCTTAACTTTCCTTTCTCATTCCTTTTCCTACTCAGAATCTAGACATTATAAAAGTTAAAGGCAAAAACTAAAGAAACAACACATTTTAAGTAAGAAGGCATTATAGTCTACATACTTATACATAGCAATAGTGAATGTCTTAAACATTTCTAGCTGACGCCAAAACTAATGTCATTAGTATAGTGTAATTTTTCACAAATTATACTTTGCTTCCTTGGAAAAACGTAGGCACCAGGAACATAGTTCTTTGTTTCTAGCAGAAATTCTAGTTATTTGTTATAAATGTAAAGCAGAAAACACTTTTAATATGGAGCAATTCTTCAAGTGTTTTTCATCAATAACAGTACTTACCACATTTTCACTCTGTGTCTCAATATCCAAATAGGACGGAGGCATCTGCACTTTGTTAAGCACTTTGAAGCAAGTTTTTAAGGCATGGGTGAGTTCGGGCAAGGTTAAAAATTCCAGTTCTTCATAAAGGCACTGCACCATGTAACAGAGCATCTGTGGGAGATACTGAGTTTGTACCTCAGAATAAAGTTCCTATTTTTAAAAGAGAAGAGGGATATACTTCAAAATGTCATCTCATAGAAACTTATTTTACCAATCTGAATAAGCTTCACATTAATTCCAAATTTAGCAAGCAGAACAAAAGATAATTTATTTCTTTTCTTTCTTGAACAACTCAACTGATGTTTTACTTGGTCACTTATTTAATCATTCTCCTTTTTCTTTCCCAACAAAGAGAGGAACATATGACAACTCTCATTTGTGAAAAATCACACAATTGTAATGTTTTAATCAGGAAATGTGCCTATTTTGTTCTCTTTACTCACAAAGTAGGACTTTGCAAATAGTGTATTACTGGGATAATGTTTAATTTGATTTAAAAATATTTTGATAACTGTATTTCAATATAATTGGCTTCCTTTTTAATCTTATATAGTTTATTTTAAGCATATTTAAAATTGGCTCAAAAGTTATAACCCACTTATAAGATAGATTTATACAGCAAGTCATCTACATCTACTTTTCACATACAAGAAAAAAAAGATGATGAGTTCATGAGTTTATATATTGCACGTGATTCTTTTTCAAATAAGCTGGCCTGTCACTCTAAAGAGAAATGAGAAGACAACAGCAATAATCTCTTTAAAAGTTTGTCTCTCTTACCAACGGAATTACATCAAGGAGGAACACAAGCAACATGCAAAGTTCTGAAACTGTGGGAGAAATGCTGTTTTTTGTAAAGGGATGGCTTACTTCCATGGATCTGCTTCTGCCACAAAAAAAAGGGAAAGAAACATATTTTTTAGATATCATCTTTAGTATTGAAAGACTTTAAAACACTTAATTCTCTTCACATTAGCTTCAAGTATAGTAATAGCTTCTGTGGTTCTAACAACACAGATTCTAAAGAATGGCTAACCATTCATTGGAACCTAAAACTAGGAAGTTTAGGTGGACCAGGACTAGCTTTGGCAACAAGGCAAGCCAAGTAGAACTTCAACTTGCCAAATTCAGATCCCAGAAGCACTCTTTCAAATTTTAGATCCAAGAGATGATCAACATTTTCATGTTTCTGCAAATTACTTGTTACTTAGAATCCTACAGTTTCAATAGAGAAGCTTGATTAGGATAGGCATAATCTGTCTTTCACAGGGTCATACCCTTCCTACAATGAAATTCAATACTTTTTTTAAAACAATATCACAGGATAGACTCATCAAAGGTTAGAGGTAGAAGAGACTTTTGGAAATCACTTAGCCCAACCCCTTCAGTTTGGCGGAGGAGAAAGCTGAGGCCCAGAGTAAAGTGACTTGCTTAAAGTTGTATAGTGAGTTACTATGTTAAAACTATTATTGAAACTTGGATCTTCTGATTCTCAAACCCAGTGTTCTTTTCAAGTTCGATGAATCACTAGGTACCTCTGACTTGTCCCAGCTCCAGATGCAAATTTAATAATTTCCCTCCTATCAAATATCTTAGAATATACAGTACCACCTATGAATTCATCTTAGAAAGATGACTTTGACACAGAAACAAAACAAAGAAATGTCCTAATCTGAAACTGAGACTATTAAAACCTTGATTCTGATGAGTTTGGGTACAGAATTACTATGATGAGAAAAATAGGGGCCCCTCCACCTGAGGCAAATAGACTGGTCAATGAGATAATGAAATTCAAATAGGCTGGTCAATGACATACCAAAACTAAGAGGTGCCTCTACACCCTGGGCCGAACAATGGAATAATGATGTGGTTAGATATGCACAAAACTCTGAGCTTTCCTCACCTTTTGGTCCTTGATTACCTTTCCTTTCTGTACCTGATCACCCACTACAGGTTTTCCTCTATAAGAATCCCCAGCTTCTCCTGGCTAGCTGTAACCTCCTTTAAGGAGGAGTCTGCTTTGTGTGTTATCTAGAATAAATGCCTTTACTTAATTTGGAGACAACCTGAGAGAATTCTGAGATAACACCACCACCACCACCACCACCACCACCCACCACCACACACACACACACACACACACACACACACACACACACACACACACACACACACACATCCCTTGCACCCCGACATTTTGGTGATCTTGCCCCTCTTCAATTAGATGTATATTTTAAATCAATATATTCTTTTAAACTTTAAACAAGTTAAATATCATTCTTTACATGTTTAATACTTTGTTTTGAATTCAATCTTGTTCTCTTTTTCTATCTCCACTAATCCTTGTATTTTAGCCAATTCAGCTGTTCTGTAGCCTTTTAAAATTATCACTTATTTTTCTTTGTTGATTTAAAAATTTGTTGCTTTTTTTGGCTTTCTTATGATTTTTTTTAGTCATTTCTGTTTTTTTTTTAAATTTGTTGCTTTTTGGGGGGAGTGTAGACAAGCAGTCTTGCTTTCTTTGATCCTCTCACTCTGCTAACCTGGTTCAGTTTCATGATCTAAAATTTGAAAGGTGATATCCTATTCTTGAGCTGAAGACTCATCTTCTCTAAGAAGATAAAGTCCCAAAGAACACTATCAACATAGATGTTGAGCAGAGTGATGCATCTAGAAATGGCACAGCACGTTTTCTGTAAGTTACACTCTTAGGAATATCCCCTCAAATGGTGAGGCTTTTTGGTTTAATTAGCATCTTTGAATCAGAAGATCAAATGCTGCTCTTTTTGCACAAAATACTTGATATTTTATTACCTTATTTTCTTATTTTTATAATTTTATAATTACCTTATTTTCTCCAACTTCACTCCTTGTGTGACAAACACTAACATTTTATTTCCTTCTGCAGTAGTTAGGTTATGAAAATTCAGCAAAAGTCACAGAGACTGTGACTTTTATATATATATATATTTATAATCTAATCACTGTAACCACCCAAGAAAGTTCTTATATGGTTCATTTCTCTTAAATATCCTTTTATACCAAACTGTATAATTACCTAAAGTAGTCTTCAAAACATCGGGTCATATAATCCCAGATGAAATCTGTACTTAGGGAAGTAATTAGAAAATTCACAGTTTTAACAATCTCAGAGGCATATCTGTTTTCTTTTATTGCACTGTGGAGAAAAAAAAGGAATATATCTGTGAAGAAAGTTAATTCATTTTCTTTTTAAAATATTATTTGTTATGTTAGATGCCTCTCTGGGAGGGCTTATGGAAGGAGAGGGGTTACTGGGAGAAATTTGTTGATACACAAAAAAGATACCAATATTTATTTTTTAAAAAAGAAATGGCTTAAGTTAAGAGAATATCCTAGATCTGAAATGGTGTTATTCTACAAATCTCCTTAGTTTAGTATTTTCATAATTCTTTATTCCTAAACACCCAAAAGGTGATTTCTGAGGAAGGTAAATTTATCAAAGTCCCCATGGAGAAAATTTTCAAAAGGGGAATTATTTCAACACTTAGGTTAAATATGAAGAAACTATCTTCCACAACCAGTAAGAATTAGCATGAAAGTCATTCTAAGTATTACTTTAGTGACTGAAGAGAACTCATTAACAAAGTAAAAGCTCTCAGCACATTCATTATCAGTTAGAAGATCTCCTCAAGTTGAAGAGAATTAATATAATTTAACTCAAATGCCAAGTCTCATTGAAGGAAAAAGATATTAAGGTTAAAGAAGAAAGAGCTTGTTTTCCCTAAAAAAAAAGGGTTAGAAATTTTTGAACACTATACATAACTAAGCAAATTTATTACTCATTTCTTGAAAACAACTTATTTTCTATCTTCAAGTCTGTCATCACACACATGACCCTCCCTAAATAGTGACTGTTGTACTCTTTCAAAATTTGACTCACTTCTCACAGTGCCTTGCACATGGTAGAGACTTAATGTATATTGGTTTAATTGAAAAAAAATACCTACTTCCTTTTAAAATTATTAACACCTAGCTCTATATATTAGGACCCTGGATGAGTCCCTTAACCTCTCTGTTCCTAGGTCTCCTAGGCACGTAGGTAAAATGGGAATAATAATAGCACATACTTCCCACTGGGGTTATTGTGAGGATAAAATTTGTAAGGCATCTTGCAAACCTTAAACTACAAACATTAGCAATTATTCAACTAAGCAAAGTGTCTAGTTTGCACAAAGCTTGGTAGTAGATTAAAATTAAAAGATACCTGTCCTCATGCCAACTTGCAGTCTGTTGAAGAGAAACAACATATACAAAAAGAACTAAATACAAAATTATTTCAGGATGGGGAGGGCACCAACAAGGCAGGTAGAGATGGTAGCATGAGATCAGGGAAGGTTTTGTAAAGAATGGAGTTCCTCTGTTGGGCCTCGAAAGGAAGACTGGAGATTCTAAGAGAGAAATCTGAGAAGAGTTCTAAGCAAAGTCACAGAGATGGGAGATGTTCAGAGAAGAGCGAGTAAGGTAGTTTGGCTGAAATATAAAGTATATAAAGGTGAGTAATGTGAAATAAGACTGGAAAGTTAGATAGGAGACATATTTTAGAGGGCTTTAAGTTAACAAGCACTTATTAAGCTTTAAATGCCAAGGTAGGGAGTTTTACTGCCCAGAGGCAATAGCTTTCCACTACAGAGTTTTGGGTAGTAGTGTGACAGTTAGACCTGCATCTTAGAAGTATTAATTAGGCATCGAGGTGGCTATCTTTACTTTAGAATCTCTTCCCCCCCCCAATTCTCTTTACTCTTGCCCTCTCTCTCTGTATGTGTATATATATATATATGTACACACACACACACACACACACATATACATCTCCTCACTTTCTAGAGTGCTATATGACCACCTTTAGTTTTTATATTTGGTTCATAAACAATATTAGTCCTACAATCTAGTGGAATCAACACTATGTCCTCTCTAATTCCCTATAAGATTTTCCTACAGTGACTATTCAATAACATTGACTTTTAGAATAACCTAACATATTTTATCTGAGCAAATGAGATTTTTATAGAAGGGAAGTAGAGAGAAAAGTTTTGTTGTTTTGTCATTCAGTCACATCTGACTCTTCGTGACCCTGTGGACTATAGCATGCCAATATTATCCATGGGGTTTTCTTGGCAAAGATATCAGAGGGGTTTGCCATTTCCTTTTCCAGTGGATTGAGACAAACAGAGGTTAAGTGACTTGCCCAAAGTCACACAGCTAGTAAGTGTCTGAGGACAGATTTGAATGCGTGTCTTCCTGATGCCAGGCCTGGCATTCTATCCAATGAGCTACCTAGTTACCCTGAAAATACTGTGATAAAAAGGAAGAAAACACATTCACCAAAGGAGGAAATAGTCAAAAGTGTATTGTGCTTTGGAACCAGAAGACTTGTGTTCATATCCTAGTGTAACCTTAGGCAAGTCATTGTACCTGTTTACCCTACCCTGAGTAATGAAGCGGTTAGACTAGAAAGCTTCTAGGGCTCACTTCCAGCTCCAAATATAACTGTGAAAAAGACAATTAAAAGAAAACTCCTCAATGTCATACCTTGTAAGTGAATTTCCACTTTGAATGTAGCTAAGTTTAAGCTCAATTCCAAGAGCATCTCTACAATAAGAGAATAAGGCTCTGATCACTTCGAGAAATAAATCCCCAACAACCTGAGGACCTGCAAGTGAAAAAAAAATAAGGTCAATCCACAAACAAAAGTTAACAAAAGTTAGTCTAATTTCTTACTCATAAGTTAAACACTCATAAAAAGCAGACTTATTTGTATGAAGAGGATAATTCTATAACATGTAAACGTCATACATATTTCTCATTAAAAACTTTAGATGTTGGGGGAAAATTGGCTTAGAAAAGAGAGAACTTGAATTGTTGATATATTCTTAAATTGCTTAATTACCAGCATTACTTTGTATGAATACATATTTATAGAGCAATTACCTATCCAGGATGATCTTGATAAAACTGTAACATACATAAAACTGACCCTCATGATGTCAGTTTCAATAACATATAATTGAGACAGTATGAAAGACGCAGTCATTAGTAGGACTATTTCTCAACTCCCAAACCATCAGACATACACCTACACATACAATCTGAAGAAAATGGCCAGCATACAGGAAGAAAATGAAAATTCTCAAAGACAGGTTAATACATACTTAAAAGATATCCATAGAAATAATCAAAACACATAGATTAAAAAAAAAACCTCAAGGTCTCAGGGTCTATCCTTTTTGTTTTCTCTACAGAAGGACAGAGATACTTCCTTCCATATGAAGAAACAATACTTTAGTTACATGCTAAGTTGTAGAATACTTCCACTAAGCTCTCCAATGTTTTTATATTTCTCCAAGACTTATACCATATGGTGCCTCAGCACCACATACAGAGAACAGTTTGTAATTATCTTTAATTCAACAAGTTGTCCCAGGTTGAGATGGTCTAGAAAGTCATGGTCTAGAAAGGGCATACCATAAGATTTACCAAGGAGTAAAACACATGATTGTGTGTTATCATTTATTTTCTTCATACATACACTCCTTTTTTAGACTAAGCCATGATTACTCATCAAGGCTACAGGCAATATGAAGCAAAAGGAAAATCTGTTTTGGCTATTAGAGCTCAACAATGTGAGTTGGAAAGAAAAGCTTCACTGTGCACAATTCAGAGTACAGTTACTACTACGGAGCAGTGGAACAGGGTTTTGAAGACCACATGCTTTATTTACATCTTCCTTTTAGTTAACACTGAATATGTATCTATCTCGGCATCTTCAAATAAAGTTTATGTTTGAAAATATCTAATCTCAGAAAGGCTTATTTAAGGTTCATTGTCAAGTTCTGGAAAAGTGGCAAATGAGAGAAAAGTCTTTTTTAAAAAGCAGACAAACCCCCCCATTTGTTATGGGAATTTTCATATTCATAAAATGATACTTAGGTCTCAATTTTTAAATTCTTATATACTATATTTGAATTAGGGAATTAATTCCTCAAGATGAATATTCAGGCTTTCTTCTGCTTTTCAGATTCAATGACTATAAGTAGTTCACTAATGACTGTTGAGAAACATTGTGAATACTTGACAAGAAAACATCAATAAGAAAGAAATTCTGCAGAGAAGAAAGAAGGCTTAAATGTTACCAAAGATTTAATGAGGCTTAAGCAAATATATATTACTTCAGTGGATATTCTAGCAAACTATGTAAATGTACTAAGATCTTTCCTACCACTTTTTCCCTCTTTAAGGAAAATATTAAGAAATATTATTTCTGTCTGAAGTCTTTTTTGGAGCCATCTGAATGAAATAAGCCTTGTCAGTACTGAATCAAATTCCAAGGGAGAATTTCCTAATCTGAAATCCATAACATCCTTATCAAAGACCTAACTAATTTCTAAAGGGAAATAAAGTCAAAGTTCAGGGAGCAACTCTGATCTCTATGCAGACAGATTTAGGATGGTGACTGGTGAGAATATTGAGGGGATTAGGACAGCAAGTGGTTAATTGTGGAAACTGAGTGAACCACAGTGACTCTATCTTTCGACTCAATTCTGGAGCTAGCTCAGTTTCCTTTCTATTCAATTGTGGGTCTAGCCCAACTTCTGTCTTGTGAGAAAACTTTATTCAATTGCGGGGATTATGAGAGGACTCTGCTGCATTGTTTGAACCTAACCCTGCGTGGCTGGGAAGCTGAATCACCTCTACCTGCTGCTTAGAGACCCTTAACTAAGGACCTGTATTATGCTGACCAGAAACCCAGTCAGATCTAAAGATTGATGCAAGAGGTTTTCTTACACGTCTACAGCTCAAGCAACTCACAAATCTTATCTGAAAACTGGCCTCCTACTGATCAACCAGTTATTGCTTCTATGTTGCTTTGACTGAATAAACTTGGGGGGGAACAGGACACCTCCTTTTCTGATTTCAGGGAATTACACCTGTTTGCTTTTCATCTTCCAATTTGGAAAGTTAATTGGTCTTATTTGACGAATTGGTTTTAATATATGAAAGTCTGTCTCCCCTTGTATTCGGGGTCTGGTGCCAAAGCTTAGAAAGGCAGCTGATTCTGATGTGTTGGGCAATCGGCATGCAATGCTTAATAAACTCATATGTTCAGAAACTCAAACCTTTGTTTTCTCATTCATTTCATCTTTCACCTGCCACATTGGACAAAAGCAGAAACTTCTTCTACAAAACAAATTAAGAGCATTATCTCTTTTTTAACCTTTGACCAGTTGAATTGGTTTGGGAAGATGATTCTCCATAGTGCATTGTTGAAGTTATTATTGTTTTAAGTTACTCAAAAATTCAAATCAAAACTTTGGGCCTTTATTTAATCTTGACAGTGGAATTTTGCTTTTCTCTCTTGATTATTACAAAATTTTAAGTAGAAATGGTTAGGTTAGAGAGATTTTCAAAAGCAGTTCTGTTCCACATCCTTTTCAATCTGTCTCTTTTTAAGCTAAAAATTTGATAGTTAATAAATTAGTTTCTGACAGGTTTGTGCCAATCAAGTAGAGTATTGAATTTTTCTCCTAAAAAATTAAGGAAAAAAAAGGAAAAAATTAAGGAGTACAAAAGAAATGGACTTGGAAAATGAGGCTCACATATTATCTGCTTAAAAATCAAATTACTGGGGGGGCAGTTAGGTGGTGCAGTGGATAGAGTAATGGCCCTGAAGTCAGGAGGACCTGAGTTCAAATCCAGCCTCAGACCAAACACTTGATACATGTGACCCTGGGCAAGTCACTTAACCCCAACTGCCTAACAACAAAACAAAGCAAAAAAGTCAAATTACTAGACTTTAACTACTGAACACAGATTCATAAGCTGTGATAACAAGACATCATGCAATATGATTGGCTTGGAAATAAAGTGGGCATTTTATTCCTATCATTTCAGTAAGTGAAATTCATATAATAGATCATAAATTCATAAGATGAAAAATCAAAACATAATATTAATCACTCTGATGACAACTGAAGTTCATAACAATGACCCTGAAGCATGAGAAGATCCTGAAGTGGCTCTGAATGAAAAATATAAAATTATTTTCAACACAATTTTAACATTAAAATACTTTTTACTGTATTACCTATTTCAGGCTTGTCAAGGAGACTAACGAGGATACGGAAAGGTTTCAGGTAAGCCTGATGACTTTCTTCAAATTCAGAGCTGGTGAACTTCTGATGCAAAATTTCAATCAATGCCTAATTTTTAAAAATGACATGTTAGAATACTTCATACCAAGGTGTAAAAGTTTAAAAGATTTTTTTCTTTTTTGAGGCAGCTTTGTGGCACAGTGGCCTAGAGTCAGGAAGATTTGAGTTCATATTTGGCCTCAGACACTTATTAGTTATGTGACCCAAGGCAAGTTGGATACCTCTGTATGAAATAATAAAAAGTATGAAATAATTCCTACTTGTAATAAGCTTACATTCTACTGGGAGAGACAATAAATACATGTAAAATACAAGAGCATAAATATAACATTAACAAATGCATATACATATATTGACAACACAAAGTAATTGAATACAAAGAAAAATTTAGGAGAAAAGGCACTAGCAGATGGGGGGAGGGTCAGAAAGGGCTGGACACATGGACAAAACACACATATTTTGCCACGGCTCAGCAAAATAAGTCTATTGATATCTTAGAATAAATAGCTCTCTGAATTTGGAAACCTTTGGTCAGTAATGATCCCCCTACCTCAATTAAGAGGTCTTTTGAGTATTTTTCAAAGAAATAGGCGGATTGGTCTTCATAAGATGTTGAGACGTTCGATTGAGGCACAAGAGTATTTCCTTTGATATCTGAGCCTACAAATGAAATAAAAACATTCATTCAGAAGGGAGTTGAACATAAAACATATAAAGTAAGCAAGATAATATCACATAATGTGGGGCAAGATTCTCATCTTCTAGTATCTTGTAATGCAATTTATCCTAGAAACCCAGAGATTGAGAATTGAGCAGTAGAGCTGGAGTCTCATGCTACTCTTTTAATAACTGAAAACTGATAACAGTAACCAACCATGACATAGGCAGAATACCATTTTAATCTGCCTCAACAGTCTACACTTATTTTTTACATTGACATGGACACACTTGATTCTGTTAATGGCAACTTCTACATACAGCAGGACTATATACTAGTCCCCATTCAATTAGCAATTAGGCATAATAAAAATATTGTTTTTTAGTACAATAATATTTTAAAGAAACTATTGTGTATGAAACATTGTGCTAGGTACAGGGGAGATACAAAGTTTAGATAAGATATGGGACATGCACTCAAGGATTTACAGTCTAGTAGAGGGAATGAGACGTGTGGACAGAAAATTATAGTTTTATATTACTCAAGTGCAAGAGAGAATTACAAAACAAAGTACTACCAGAGAAGTAAGTGCCCTTCAGAAACTGGCATGAGACTATCTTCGCAGGCAGGGGTAGCTGGGTGGCCTAGAATCAGGAAGACTCATCTTTATGAGTTCAAATCTGGCCTCAGACACTTACTAGCTGTGTGATCCTGGGCAAGTTACTTAACCCCGTTTGCTCGAGTTTCTTCATCTGAGAAATGAACTAGAGAAGGAAATGGTAAACTACTTCTTTGCCAAGAAAACCCCAAATGGGGTCACAAAGAATTGGACACAACTAAAACAGATTGAACAACAGTCTTTCCAGGCCAATTACGCATTATGTAGTTCCCCTTTGTAGAGTCTACATTCCAGACAAACTGGCCAACTTGCTGCTTCCTGTAAATGACATTAAATTGCCAACCTCCATGGCCTTACCTAAGCTAATCTCCGTGCTTAAAATATCCCTTCTCTTATGCTTAAGAGGCTATAAAACTGTGCATACCCTTTGATCCAGCAATACCACTGCTAGGTTCGTATCCCAAAGACATCCCAAAAAAAAGGGAAAAGGACCTTTTTGTACAAAAGTATTTATAGCAGCTATTTTTGTGTTGGCTAAGAATTAGAAACTGAAATCAATTAGGGAATGACCAAAACAAGCTGTGGTATATGAATGTAATGGAATATTACTGAGCTATAAGAAATGACAAGCAGGATTTCAGAAAAACCTGGAAAGACTTACATGAACTGATGCATGGTGAAGTAAATAGAATCAGGAGAATGTTGTACTCAGTAACAACAATATTGTTCAATGAAGAATTGTAAATAATTTAGCTATTCTTAGCAATACAATGATCCAAAACAATTCCAAAGGACTAATGATGAAGCATACTATCTGCCTCCAGAGAAAGAACTAATATTGTCTGAATACAGATTCTACTTAGACTGATAGCCATTCAGTGTTCCCAGACACCCCAGCCAAAAACCTCCCCCTCCCTAGAAGCCTCAATAAAAGATGATACCAAATTTTATTCCCTTTAGACAACCTTCCTGGGGGTTGGATAAAGATTCCTTTTCACTTTCATCCAGGGACTTAAAATCACTACCAAGCATGACCAATCACACAAAAAGGGTCATACCTTCAATATTGCAATCACCCCAAAATATGCTACATCCATGTTAAAAATTCTGAAATCACCTTACCTGACCATAATCTATTAGTCTTAAACCTCTCCCTCTGCCTTCCTTTACACAATGCTACTCTTCATTCTAACCATGACCTCCAATCTCTTAATCTCTCAATCCTCTCCCAGGCTACCCCCCTTGCACTAGCCACTCTCTCATTTTCTCTCCATCTTGAAACAATTCAACTCTACACTGTCTTCCTCTTGAATCTGCAGGCCCCTTGTCATATCACTGATTATGCCCAGCCAAGTCTCAGTCTTGCATCACTCCCACCATTTGTTACCTGCACACTTATAGATGTGCTGCTGAAAGAAGATGGAGAAAATCATACAAACATAGTGACTGGATGTACTACAAATTTATGTTATGTAATCTCAATCAGGCTTTCACTGCTGTTAGGCAATCCTCCCAAACCTCCCTCATCAACTCCCTATCCCACTCTCCAGGGCAGCTCTTCCTAACAGTTTCATCCCTTCTCAAACCTCCCATGGCTCTCCGTCCTCACATTCTCTCTGCTGAGAATCTTGCCTCATATTTTACAGGAAAAATTGAGGCCATTCACCATGAACCCCTTCTTCTCCCCTATTCCTCATCTCCTATTACTCAGGTGCTTTCTGCTACTTTCTCCTCCTTCACCCCTGTCTTACATGATGAAGTGACTTTACTCTTTACTAAGGCTAAATCCTCTACTTATTCAAGTGATCTCATTCTATCCCACCTCCTCCAATAGATTGCCCCCTCTGTCATCCCTACTCTTTCACTTATTTTCAATGTCTCCTTCTCTACTGGTACATTTCCTACTGCCTACAAACATGGCCATATCTCCTCTATCCTGAAAAAACAAAACAAAACAAGATCCTTACTTGATCCTTCCATCCCTACTAACTATCCTATTTCTCTTCTACCCTTGTAGCTAAACTTCAAAAGGCCATCTACATTCGCCTCCACTTTTTTTCCTCTCACTCTCTTCCTAACTCCTTACAATCTGGCTTCCAACCTTACTGTTCCACTGAAATGCTCTCTCTCAAGTTATTAATGATCTCCTGAGGTATCTTCTCAATCCTCACTCTCCTTGAATCCTCTGCAGTCTTTGACACTGTTGATCATTCTCCCCTCCTTGATTCTCTTCTCTCTAGGTTTTTGGAACACCATGCTCTCCTCATTTTCCTCAACCTATTTGATTACTCCTTCTCTTTCTCCTTTACTAGATACTCCTCCAGTTCATGCCTTCTAACCATAGATGTCCCTCAGGGTTCTGAACTGGGTTCTCTTCTCTTCTCTTCTCTTCTCTTCTCTTCTCTTCTCTTCTCTTCTCTTCTTTCTCTTCTCTTCTCTTCTCTTCTCTTCTCCCTCTATACTACTTCTCTTAGTGATCTTATCAGCTCCCATGGACTTAATTAAATTCTGAACTAGAAACAGCCTATTTTAATTTTTTTTAAAAAAATTATTACATATTATTCAGTCAGTACCTAGCAACCATGCATAAAATCTTCTGTTAAGAGACATATCTCTTCTCAACAAAGTCTGGGTAGCAGCTGAAAGTATTCGAACAATATCCGATCTGAGCAGTGGAATGGCACTTTTATTGGAGTCCTAATAGAAAAAAGAAAACTTTTCTGTAGATAATTGAAGAAGACAAATTAACTACCTTTCTGAATGCAATTATTAGCAAGATATCAAAAACTTTTATTTCTAAAACTTTACTTTTAAAGCCATTTCTCAAAAGCAGTTCGTACTCTAATTCAGTGTTTCAGTATTGGAAGGGACCCTAGTGGTGCTGAAGCTCAAATCCCTACTAGACAGAGAAATCTATTCTATTATATCTTTAAGGCATCATTCAATGTCTTAATAGGAAGGAAAGATGAAAGAAAACAAACATTTATTAAGCACTTACTATGTGCTAAACACTTCACAATTGTCTTATTTGATCCTCACAACAACCCTACTGTGTGTAAAGAGCTGTTAGGTAATAGACATATAAAGACAAAAATGAAATAACCCCTGACTGGGGAAATATAACAGACACAGATCAATAAACACAAGGTAATTAGAAGAAAGAGAAAATACTAACAACTGGATGAATTAGGGAAGGCTTCACAGAGGAATCTGGCCTAACTGACAAATAGAAGCTAAAGCTTCTGAGATATAGGCACTATATAAATTCTAGCTGCCACTGCCACCACCAGCACCACCATTACTACTATTATTACATACTATGTGGAAGCATGAACTGGAAGGCTGAATATAAGGAACAACTTGAAGGCCAGCTGAGCTGGAATGTAGATATATAAAAGGGGGTAATGTAAAATAAGGCTTGGAAAGGGAAGTTTTAAGCTAGATTTTGAAGAACCTTAAATGCCACACTAAGGAATTTATATTTTATCTTAGAGGTGAGAAGGAACCATTCAAAGTTTTTGGTTAGGGAAATAACACCCATATCTATGCCATAAGGAGATTATTTTGGAAACTATATGAAGGATAGATTGGCCAAAGGAAAGACCGGAGATAGGGAGAACCATTAAGAGGCTGTTACAATGGAATGATTAGAAGTTAATAAGGATCTGAAATTGTATAGTAGTTATATAAGTGGAGAAAAGGAGATGAATGCTAGATGATTAGAATTGATAGCACATGGAAACTCACTAGCTATGGAGGGGAAGGAAGAGTGAAGAAAGGCAGACTTAGAGATTATGAACCTGGATAACTAGAAGGATGATAGTACCTTCAATAGAAATGGAAATTTGGAATAGAGGTGTGTTTAGAGGAGAAGATGATGAGATCCATTTTGGGCATGTTGAATTTGAAATGCTTGAGATAATGAGATATAGGTGTCAAGCAGGCGGTTGGTGATTTAGAACTAAGTTTATGAGATTATGTCTAGATATGAAAATTTATGAATCATTAATATAGAAGTAATACCTAAAAAATTAGAACAAATGAGGTCACCAAGGGAAAAAGTGGAGATAAAGAGATAAGAAAGTTTAGGACACAGCCCTGGGGGATACTGACCTTCATGGGATAGAAGAAGAATAATGAAAGAGACCAGGAAAGAGTGGTCATAGGGCAGGTGGAGAATCAGAAGAGTTGCAACTTGGAGGTTGAGGAAGGATAGTAAATTCAAGAGAATGGAGTAGTCAACACATACACATGTGTATACATATATGTATGTGCATGTGTGTACATATGTGCATACATAGGTGTGTATGTACATATGTATGTATCTATCTATCTATCTAGGGCTCCCTATTTCACTCAGGCAAAGAGTACAGTGGCTATTCACAGGCTTGATCTACTGGTCAGAAAAGCAACTATAACTTACTTTATTTCTGACATAGGCAACCTGGAGAGCCTCCTCCCCTTCACCCTCACCATGAACTCACCATATT